GCGAACTCTTGCCACGACCATGATTGTGTGTTTGTAACCACTGCACTCGGTGCCGGGTGAGCTGACAATGGCCAATTCTGCTGTTCCTGCCCCGGGCCGCGCCCTCATTCACAGAGGAGCCAGGGTCAAACGACAATGGGATAGCCACAGCTTGTCACACACTAGCTACGAAATGATGTTATATGTAAGTAACGAACATTGTGAAAATTACCCCATCGAGGAATCAACATTTATATTTATTTTTTTCATGCAAGCTGTTCGATGCTTTTAACCCGCGCCCCACTGGGGTCTACGTATAACACGCCCTACTGGGGGGGGGGGGGGCTCTCCATAGCCCCCCTCCTAACTCCGAAACTACTGGGCCGATCGTCAAAATTCAAACGGCGTCTGATAGCCCCAGAAAAACTATCGAGCGAAACCTTATTTCATTGAACTCGAGGTCACCGATGACGTCACAGATCAGGTCAAAGTAAAAATTATAAGCATTTTGGCTTGTTCACATTTTGGGCTCTGGTCACCGTCTTACAAGTCAGATCAGGCTCATTTTTGGTTTCCACACTCGTGAGCACATGTTCTAGCTACCTTGAGGGTACCAATCTTGTACTTTGATTTTCAGGTCAGGGTCAGGTCATAACAGGCCACGAAACTATTTATCATGCGTCGGTCACGTGACACATGTTTTATGGTCCATTTAGGCCATATGTTTCGAATTTCATGTCGTCTGTGTCATTCGAGGTCATTTTGAGTCGAATTTAGCTTAGGTCAGGTCACTTTCAGGCCAAAAAGGTCAAATTTTGAAGCTTAAGTTTTTCAACATAAAAGGTGTCTATTGGATGCAGTTTGAGCTCAGGAACACGATGATGCTATTTATATTGCTGTACGTTGTCAAATACGTACTAAAAAATGATTTGAAAAATTAATAATTGTGAATTTTTTGCCATTATGCGTATAACTTGGCCATTTTTGAAGATATTTAGCTAAAACTTGCTAGAGTTAGTTATGAGCATGCGTTCTGTCACATATATTCCGTTTTTTCTCAATAAGTCAAAAACGTTTTGAAAAACATAAATTTTGAATATTATTATAACTTTTTTGGAAATTTTCAAAATTTTGAAAATCCGAGATAGCAGTTTGATGGCGCAGTCAATTTTGAGTCCTTTCATGCAAATAAGTTGGATCTAGCTTAAAAACTGAGCTCTTGGGAGCGATTGCCGTGGTTCAATGTTTTGCGTCGAAATCGGCCGAACATGACGTCACTCTGTCGTCATTTTCGGCCGACCTATGGTAGCTACGACGTTCAAATTTTGACACAAGGTGTCAAATTGATGCAGCCGAAGGTACTGAAAGTCTGGCGTCGATAAATTAAGTGGTTTGGAAGTTATTGCAGAAAAACGGGAGGGGGGCTATGAATAGCCCCCCTAGTGGGGCGCGGGTTAACCCGCGCCCTGCCTGGGGGGTTGGTGGTGTTTGAACACCCCCCTTGTGGTTTTTCGCGAATATCTCAAAAAAGTCATTTGTAAAAAGGTTGCCCTAGGCTGTGCCAAATTTGGCGGGCGGCTCTGCTTTTTACGCTATCTTCGAAAAACCTTACGGGGGGGGGGGGGGGTTGCATCGACCCCACCCCTGCCAGGGCGAGGGTTAAACACTGCCCTCGCCACCCCACTCCTTATTCAGTCAACGCCTGTCACTGCCGTGGGGAGCACAGATCAGTTTTTGCGATAATTCGTTTTCGACCATACTAAACAGAAAATTGAATTTTAGTCAGAATCATGAAATCCTGAGCATTAGAAACGTATTCCGGCACTTGCTTTTAGCCCGAAATGCTCGCAGTTACCCGTGCTGTATAGCTCCCATTGGCCCATGATGGGCGTTTTGCCCCACACCAAGGTTGGCGTTTTACCCCAACAGCACATACAAAACAAAGTTAACCAGAATCAAGCCTGTCACAATTGTGTTGCAAACCAATAGATGCTCAAAGCATAGCTTAAATCTTCAGGTTTGACATAGCGAAATGTCATTGGCTTTTCTAATCTCCATCAGACAAAGTTTTAGCAGTAAGAAAGCATGTCATTCCTAAAAAATATCAAATAGGTATACATACTAATATTTATCTTACGTCCAGAACACCTCACTTGTGGAACCAAAACCGGAGTACAAGCAGATTCCTGCGTGTTCTTGAAAATGGCTATCAAGGATTCTTTGAAAAGTCGAGTATTTGACAAATAAGAGGGGTGGGCGTTTTACCCGCCCTGGGCGCTTCGCCCCACTCTACCCTAACGTTTAATTGAAACGTTTCTTCTTCCAAATCTGTATTGAGCTAATATCGTCGAGATAAACACTTTTTTTATTTTGTAGTCACACATCGGTGAAAATACAGTGAAAGTTTGTGTTTGTTTGCGGTTGCTAGTGAAGGATCATCATTCGTCGTATTTTGTTATTTTTTCATGTCTGCTGCAAATAGGGGTTTCAGTTGTACCGATCCATTGCTGTAATATTGATAAGCGTCTCAAGGCACCTTCGTTTTGTCAGATCACTAACTACTCACCAACAGCCAGCTTATCGCATTTCCATCCCACAAGTAATCATATCATAGTATTAGTTCCCCAGCCGGTGCTAACACATTTTGCCAAACACCCTAAAGCCTGAAACAGACTCTTTCCGCAGTCGCATGCGAGAGCCTATTCAAATACATGGAAGCACGCTCGCATCAATCGCACGCACCTCCCGCAAGCGATTGATGCGAGAAGAATTACAATGTATTTGAATAGGCTCTCGCAAGCGATTTCCTGAACGCAGAAAGAGTCTGTTTCAGCCTTAACCCTCGCCCGCACATGGGGGGGTGGTTGCCACCCCCCCAGGTAGTCTTTCTGCTCTGCACTCAACATTTTTAGAGCTAGAAGGCTGATTTTTCGTATAGCTGCTCCTCTATCCTTTCTTGATGTCCACTGAAAATTTCGAGTTTCTGTGATTTTTGGTTTCGGAGATATGACCTTGTTTTTTAGGTCATGTCATGACCCAAATGGCCAATTCTCAACATCTTGCGCTTGCCATGGGCCTTGTGAGCTTTTGACACCCTGATTTCGGCCTTTTTTGCCAGTCTTACCTCCCACCTATCATGGAACATGTTGTTCGACGATGTACAGGGGTCAAGGTCAGGGTCAAGGTCAACCTAGGTCATCTAAGATAATTGCGTTTTAGGCAAGCTGAATTTACTTTTTGTGAAGTTTTTTGACTGCATTTTTGGTAAAAGCTTCTCAGATCATGATTTCATGTAATATGGATCCAAAAACAATCGGTGCACACATCAGTATACACACAGACACACACAGACATACAAACACTTATAATTGACCTTGACCTAACTTGACCTGAAATGACCTCAGCAGCAAAATTCTGGTCGGGTAGTGTGACAAAGAGGTTCTAGCTGGCTTGGCACCAGAAAACAGCATCGTCATCGGTATTTGATAAGTAGCGCACTTGATATCCAACGGTGACCCAAAACAGCAATATTTTTTAGTTTGACCTGACCTGGAAGGTCAATGACTGACCTGAGAAGGTAAAACTGGGTATCATTGGATTCGTCTCTTCCCAAAGAATCTTTTTGGTCTTTACTGCTAAGCTCTATCTCCAACAGGAACGAAATGGCGCGGGGGGGTGGCAACCACCCCCCCATGTGCGTTCTAGGATGGGAAAATGGCATGTGCGGGCGAGGGTTAAAGGGAGATAATGAGCTTTCTTTTTTCTTAAATAAAAATTACTCGACATCTATACTATTTCTACTGTAGTTTCTATAAAATATGAAAATTTCCTAGCACATTTTCGTATGTGAAAAAGGTTTTTATTTTTGCAAAAAAGAAGCAGTACTTGCAGTACTTGTAACACCCACCGAAATGCGTTGTCCTTCTCTATAAAAAAGTCGCAGTATATGGCGCTTTTGTTTCAAACAGCGACGCTTGGGTTTTTGTTTATGTTATCGCCTTGTCGTTGCTTGGTTGTAAGGATTCTAATTTGAATTAGAGTTAATTCGGTTTAGAATTAATTAGATTCTAATTCGGGGGTACATAGTGCCTACTCTTCTTTGTTTCCAACATTATTTTGCGCCACAAATGAACGGCATGCGCCAGAAACGCAGCCAAATCTTGCGATTGCGACTACGAAATTCATTATTTTGGCCTCAGAGCCTGAAGCGAAAAATACAAGCATATTTATTTCAAAAAGACTTCAGGTTTGTCGAACGGTGTTATGAGAATTTTGATAACAGTACTGCATAAGTTTTTCAGTGATGCCGCAAAAGTGTTGTATCTATCTTCTTTTATTGTGCAGTCGGCGGGACCGATTCAAAATTGAGTCGTTGCTACTAAAATAGCAGCATATGGCGACAGATGATGAACAGGAAAAATAGTTGCGTAAATTTAGACATAAACCACCCCCAAACCATGAATATCTTTTGAAGGCACTATAGACGACCATTAACTAACTAGATGTGATGAAGATCAAATGTAATGAATACGCTCATTTTACAAAATTACATGCAAGTACCAAAAAGTGATGTAAGTACTTATTCAACGGTCATTTTCAGCGCTCCCCGCTAACGTGACTTCAAGTTGAGATATTTGCGGCAAGGTACCGAATTGAGCAAAATGGTTTTAATTTACATTATAACTTGTTGTGTTTTGTCAGAAAATGGTCCTAACTCAGATTTTGTGGAAAAAGGTCATAATCTCCCTTTAACTCCGCACCACTTACCCCCAGTTTCCCACCACTTACCCCCTAGTTCGCAAGTTCTTTAAACACCCCAGTCCCCACCACTAGTTCCCCCAGTTCACCGAACACTACCCCAGTTCCCCACCACTAGTTCCCCCAGTTCACCAAACACCCCAGTCCCCCCAGTTCACCACACATCCCAGTTCGGCCCACCCGGCTTCAGACGATCCGCAGTGACCGCTGTCCACTGTGACTGAATCTGCAGTACGGCTGACTTCATGTCCCCTGTGTTTCAGTCAGAGTCAGACGGGGCCGGACGGACCCGTGGGCGTGCCACCGCCGCCCCCGCCACCGCCCCCGCCCCCGCCAGCGGCCACCAATGGGGGAGCGCCGCCGCCGCCCCCGCCGCCGCCGCCCCCGCCGCCAGCCATGCCAGGGGGCGTGCTACAACCCCGGCGAATTCCCACAGAGGTAAGTGGCCGGACTGAGGGGGAGCAGTGGGGATTGGTGCCATATTCGTGCATTGTTTTGTATACCTTCGGTACTTAATCGAATCTGAAGTAAATACTGATTTAAAGTACCATTTCGAACATTGCATTTAGTCGAGAGCGAATCACTGCCTGCAATAGTTGTGCTTTTTTTTTGACCAGGCGCACTAAACTATGTCGTCTGTCGCTACCGACTGAAAAACGTATTGTCGGCAGTCTGACGGGTCCTGCTGGGCTTCTGACTGACCACACTGAGATTTTTCCGTAATGTATTCGGGCCAGCCGACTGTGAGCGAATGTGCCGTCCACTTGTCGGGATTGATGTGAGTCTACTATGTCACATCAATGGCCTACTGTCAGGCAGTAGGCCAAATAAAGTCATTCTGCATACCAACTACCGTTCTGATTCTCAGATCATTTACATTTTATAGTCGTTTTCCTAGCTCCCACCATGGTACGCTTTGTCACCTTGTCAGCTGCATTTCGTTCGACCTCGCAACTAACAGCTGATAGTTAACCCGCGCCCCGCTGGGCTATTCAGCCATACGCGCCCTGCTGGGGGGGGGGGGGGCAGATTCTCCCCCTGTCTAACTTCCGAACCGATGGTCGTAGAAAGACGGGGAAAACGGCAATCGAAAGCTCTCAACAAGGCGGATCTTAAGAGTCCAAATTTTTTTGCTTAAGTAGGTCAGAGGTCAGGTCAAGGTCAGGTCAAGGGTACAAAATGCAAATTTCTACAGTATCGGCCTTGTTGCCGAAGAATCGACTGAGACTGATTGCCCAAAACGTGTTCTTAGACTACCAAGACAATATTCGTTGCATACAATGTCATTCAAAGGTCAAGGTCAAGGTCAGGTCAGGTCAGGTCAGGTCACCAAAAGCAAATTATAGAAAAGGGCAGGTGCGACACATGTTTTATGGGTCATTTTACTCATAAAATTCAATAGGCACACTCAATAAGTGATATGGACCACCTCTGGATGAATTTCAGGTCGAGGTCAGGTCAAGGTCAGGTCAAGTAAGGTCAAATTTTGAAGTTGCTTGTTAAGGCCTAAAAAGGTGTCTATCTGATGCAGTTTTTCACGGCGAATCGAATGGTGCTATTTTTGTTTTCGTACGAGGTCTAGAACTTAAAAAAATCATTTTTTCAAAATTTTTGTGTGTCGTGACGTCATAAAATTTTTGAATAACTCCCACATTTTTTAACCGATTCTTCTAAACATTGGTATGTAGGTGCACATAGACCTCTTCTCTGACAGATATTCCGTTTTTTTTTTCGATACACTCAAAATTTTGGATTTTATAATTATTTTCCCAAAAAAAGTCAGTTTTTTGAAGAAAAAAATTGGGCCAAAATCCAAAATTTTCCAAAAACCGAGATAGCCATTTGATAGACAAAGTAGAATCACGTATAACCTTTTTTGTTACATCTTGATTCCTTTAAAAATGAAGATGTTAGCGGCGTTTGAAATTTTGCCGTTTTTGAGGCGAAAATGGCGAACATGACGTCACTAAAACGTCAATTTCTCAAAATTTTTCCGACGGATTTCGCTCAAATTTTCAGGAAACGTGTCAAATTGATGTATGATAAGGTACCGACAGTTTGACGTCGCTGGCGTAACGCGTTTAGAAGTTATTGGCGAAAAACGGGAGGGGGGGGGGCAGATTCTGCCCCCCCCCACCCAGCGGGGCGCGGGTTAAGAAGTAAAAAGGAGAGCTTTCGAAGAGAACTTCGAAAGGCCTTTTTGATTTTTCGTCGACGCCTCAATAGAAAAATGTAATATGCTCTAACATAACCCTAAAAAGAATAATGGCAGAGGCGGAAAATAGCTTTAGTAAAAATAAGTGGTTTAAGCGTATGTTTTCACCAGCGAAGCACAAACGTTCAAAAAATAAGATAAAAATAAACAGGCTCAAAACGGGCACTGTGCGCACACTACCGGGCGCAGTGCCTCAATCCCATGTCCGCCCCGCCCGCCTGTTCGTCGCCCGTCACAGACCCCCACTGACGATACAATAGCCCACCGGTCTAATGCAGCGCTCGCACACGCCAGGGGAGTACAGAACAGGGCGGCGTCCGTGCCGGTGCGTATTGCGTGCGTGCGAGAATATGCAGGGCGGGCCGCGCGTGCACTATCAGACTGACATGTGAACCATGATGGCTTGGTGATTGGGCGTCCGTTGTGCGCTACGATTTGGTACTACTTGTGGTTGTGTTAAAACCCGCGCCCCGTAGGGGGGGCCGAAACGGCCCCCCCTGTCCTTTTCGGTCAATATCTCCTAAACGGCTGGAGATATCGCCACCAAACTTTCAGGACCCCTCCGGGCATCAATTTTACACATTGTGACCAAAATTTTTTCCAGAGGCTATGATAGGTTGGCCACAAATGACGTCAGAGTGACGTCATGTTCTGTCATTTTCGACCGAAAAAAGACCTTCGCGAGAAGACCTGTCAGGGCTACAGCTTTGAAGATACAGAAAAATGATCAAGACATAAAAGGTGTAGAATTGACAGGGCTACAAAACTGCTATCTCGAATTTTTGAAATTTTTGAGTTTTGACCCCCAAAAATCAAAAAAGCATTTTTATGGATATATTCGCCAAAAAATCCAAAAAGTTTTTTGAATTTCGAAAAAAACCGGAATATATGTGATAGTGCCTACCGTCTTCTATCTACATACCAAATTTCAGATCGATACCTCGTTTTTCGGCCAAGTTATAGCGAAAAAACTGTTCAAAAATGATGACGTCAAATTTTCAAACTCAATTTTTGGCAATTCTAGAACTCGTAGAGCAAAACGAAGACCACCATTAGACTCCCCGTGACGAGCTGCATCGAATCGATACCCATTTTATGCAAAAATATCAACTTTTAAATTTGACCTAATTTGACCTGACCTTGACCTGACCTTCACAAAAACGTGACCTAGGCTGGCCCCAAAGGCTGCCTAACCCACATAATCGCATTTGTCATGTAAAATGGACCATAAAACATGTATCACACGACACATTCATATTGTGACCCCCGGTGACCTGACCTCGCTGTGACCTGACCTGGTATCAGTGACCTCAGATAGCAAGGTATGTGTTTGACGAACAATGTACCATCGATGGTTTTCAATAAATTACCAATTTACTCGCTTTCACAGCACATTTCTTGAATTGCCTGTGAACGGTGAAAATCTGACCTTTGACCTGACCTGTGACGTCATCGGTTTGACCTAGGTCAATGAAATTTGGTCACAAGGTAGTTCTCGGGTGGGGCTATCGAACGCCGTTTGAATTTTGAAAATCGGCCGGTAACTTTCCGAGATCTTAGGGGGGGGGGGCGAAACGGCCCCCCCCCCCTACGGGTGGTAGGGTCCGCCGGTAGCCCTACGGGGCGCGGGTTATTATAGGGTGACCGGTTTTGCAAAAAGTTTCGAAAAGTTTTGCTCCCCAGGTCTAATCTAACGTATTTAGGGGTGCTGATCACGAATCCGGCGGAAAAATATAAAATTCGAATTTTTTTGACCGCCCCGGCTCTTTGAATATTTCCGGTTTTCTCAATTTTTGCATGTTTTTGAATAATATGATGAATGTAATGAAAATTTATTAACAATGTATCGCTAAATGCATGTACCAGTCGATTCGGCATACAGCAGCGTCGAAATCGGCACGCCGCCTGCTTCACCGGCCTCGCAGGAAAGCATAAGGCGCGGAAGGTTTGCGTTAGTTACCCGATTCTCTCCATAGATGGCGCTGGCGTAGCCGCCCGCCGGCCGGTCGTTGCCGTGCCGTTCACAGCCCCGGCGGTCACGTGCGACCGTCGTGGTCGTTATGCTACGTCTATCAAAGCACGACAGAAATGTTCACTTCATTTTTATGTTACTTCAGACACATTTTAGACCTAATGTTGAATTGGATAAATGACTATCGTGAATTGGCGAAATAGTGGAGTGCGCTCGGGAGCCATTTACAATAGCGAGGAACGTAGGTGGATTGATCTGAGTAACATATGACACTGCGTTCACTGTTGATATGAAGTTTATTCACACTATGTAGTCGGGTGACATGAGAACAAAGTGACTAACATACCTTGTGTACGACAGGCGACACATGGATGAAGCTAATGCTACTTTTTCATTTTGTTTCGGTAGGCCCGTTTGTTCAGAGCGTAGCCGTCCTGTCGGTCTGCGCCTGTTACAGCTGTGACTGATTCGGTGGTCAGCTTTACAGCCCTTCCGATGGATTGGGTATGGCAGGGGACCCCCGTTTTAAGGGGAGTCTGTAGAAAGTCGCGCAACTCATCCTCGCTCATGTGCCGTACACAAGGGGGCTCAATGTCTCGGCCCTCGTCAACCGCTCGCTGCACGTTAACCAGTTCCATATAGTTGTTCGCTTAAACGTTAATTTCCGGCAGCCGGAAGTGCCGAATGGGCTGCTGCTGTGGCGGTGGGGGTGGCAGCTTTGGCGGCGGTCGTGGCGGCGGTGCCGGCGGCGGTGCCGGCGGCGGTGCCGGCGGCGGCGGTGGTGGTGGTGGTGGTGGTGGTGGTGGTGATGGCCGCCGCCGTTTCAGACGCCGCTGCTGCTGTTGTGGCGGTGGCGGCGGTGGCGGTGGTGGTGGTGGCGATGGCCGCCGCCTCTGTCGCCGCTGCTCCTGCTGTGGCGGGGGCATGGCATTAGGGCAGATGCAGTCCGCATAATCCAGAGCATTCGTCAAAAAAGGCAGCGACAGGAGCAGCCGCCGTTCCCGCCCCCGCCACAGCAGGAGCAGCGGCGACAGAGGCGGCGGCCATCGCCACCACCACCACCGCCGGCGCCGCCGGCGCCGCCGCCACAGCAGCAGCAGTGGCGTCTGAAACGGCGGCGGCCACCACCACCACCACCACCACCACCACCACCACCACCACCGCCGGCACCGCCGCCACGACCGCCGCCAAAGCTGCCACCCCCACCGCCACAGCAGCAGCCCATTCGGCACTTCCGGCTGCCGGAAATTAACGTTCAAGCGAACAACTATATGGAACTGGTTAACGTGCAGCGAGCGGTTGACGAGGGCCGAGACATTGAGCCCCCTTGTGTACGACACATGAGCGAGGATGGGTTGCGCGACTTTTTACAGACTCCCCTTAAAAAGGGGGTCCCCTGCCATACCCAATCCATCGAAAGGGCTGTAAAGCTGACCACCGAATCAGTCACAGCTGTAACAGGCGCAGACCGACAGGACGGCTACGCTCTGAACAAACGGGCCTACCGAAACAAAATGAAAAAGTAGCATTAGCTTCATCCATGTGTCGCCTGTCGTACACAAGGTATGTTAGTCACTTTGTTCTCATGTCACCCGACTACATAGTGTGAATAAACTTCATATCAACAGTGAACGCAGTGTCATATGTTACTCAGATCAATCCACCTACGTTCCTCGCTATTGTAAATGGCTCCCGAGCGCACTCCACTATTTCGCCAATTCACGATAGTCATTTATCCAATTCAACATTAGGTCTAAAATATGTCTGAAGTAACATAAAAATGAAGTGAACATTTCTGTCGTGCTTTGATAGACGTAGCATAACGACCACGACGGTCGCAAGTGACCGCCGGGGCTGTGAACGGCACGGCAACGACCGGCCGGCGGGCGGCTACGCCAGCGCCATCTATGGAGAGAATCGGGTAACTAACGCAAACCTTCCGCGCCTTATGCTTTCCTGCGAGGCCGGTGAAGCAGGCGGCGTGCCGATTTCGACGCCGCTGTATGCCGAATCGACTGGTACATGCATTTAGCGATACATTGTTAATAAATTTTCATTACATTCATCATATTATTCAAAAACATGCAAAAATTGAGAAAACCGGAAATATTCAAAGAGCCGGGGCGGTCAAAAAAAATTCGAATTTCATATTTTTTCCGCCGGATTCGTGATCAGCACCCCCAAATACGTTAGATTAGACCTGGGGAGCAAAACTTTTCGAAACTTTTTGCAAAACCGGTCACCCTATATGTGTTATACAACACCTAGATAACATTAGAAGACATGTTGGAAAAAGGCTGAGAAAAATAAAAGCATGAAGCACGGGCAAATAAAATGCGAAATCCGGCATTCGCAGGAAAACGTTAGGAGTCATTCAAAATTTATTTCTTCCGTTCTGCCAGCTTCGCCATTTTTAAAAGTTACAATGCTTGCTCTTTTTGATACGAATGCAGCATCAGCTATTTTTTGTACTGATAGCTGACGTTATGCCGACAACAGAAATATATTTTTTGTTCGCCGACGTTATGACAACAGAAAGGTCCAAGAGAGATCACAAACTCTAAAAGCCGGTGCAACCAACAATTTGCTTGAATTGGCTGAATGGTACTTTCAGGGCCTAATAAATGACCAACTCAAACGTAATCGGTTATTTCTTCGAGAGATGTGAGTGATGGCGCTAATCTGAGACCGATTATAGGCAGGGCGTGTCCGTTCAGAGACGTGGGAACAGCTGGCTCCCATAAATCAGAGAAATATAGCCAAATCTGTGTCTGCCCTTCTGTCCGTCTGCCAGCCTCGCAGTTTTGATCAGATCCTGCACTTCTGGAGACAAATCGCTGCACTTCTGGAGACAAATGGCTGCACTGAAATGGCATATATCTTGCTGATGGACGATACAGACGAATAATATTACTGAAAATAGCCTGTAGTTGCGACGGACTTATCTAATCAAGCTTTTAAGGCACGACCATTTTTTTGTTTGAGTTGCATGTGCAGTGGTGAAGGCAGCCCTGCCCTGGAGACCGATAAGGTAGTTGCATCCTACTTTTGAGTAAATGTTGTTAAAAGTGCAAAAGGGCGATGTTCTAGGTTATTGGGACATATTTGATTTGATTGGGTGTTTGAACATATCTTGACCATGCGGAAACACAGCAGCCGTAGCATGCCGTTCACAACATGACTAGACACCACGCCTTTTACGGGCCGCTGTTTCTGGGTGACTGATTGTCTTCCGCTGGTCCTTGGCTTCCGAGTTCATTTGTTTTGAGAGCACTAACAGCTCGGACCATTTGTGGAGCTCCACGGGACCTGTGACGCCTATCGGACTGGGAATTTAGATTGTGCTGCCATATTTGTGCGCAGCTGTTACCTTGGTCGTTTCTTGTTCAGTTTTATCGGGCGACCATCGGGAGTGGTTTTGGAAGACGGACTTCTCGAATCTACGTTACCTGATTAAATCAATTGTCTAATTTTATTTTAATAGCATTATGTGATTCAAAGCTAAGCAGTGATTTTCCATATCATCAGCTGACATCAGCTTCAGATTCAGATTCATTGTGTTTACGTTAAATCCGCTATTGCGGCTTTTCATCAACGCAACGTCAAACGTTAAAAGGTTGACATAGCAAAATAAATACACATAACGCAAGCACAAGAACACACATGTATTCAAGCCCACCACTCGGCTTGAATTGCTGGTCACCTGACCTGCCTCTCGCTCTCGCTCTCGCTCTCGCTCTCTCGCTCTCCTCTCCCTCTCCTCTCCCTCTCTCTCTCTCTCTCTCTCTCTCTCTCTCTCTCTCTCTCTCTCTCTCTCTCTCTCTCTCTCTCTCTCTCTCTATATATATATCAGCCGTCATCTGACCTCCCCCTCCCTCCCTCCCCAGCTCGGCCCCCGCGCTCCGGTACAGAGGGCGCCCGGTGAGCCGCCGGCCGTGATCCAGACCGCGATGGCCACCAAGGACAAGAAGCCGTTCACCTACCTGCCCGGCGGCATCGACCTCTCAGAGATCAAGAGCCCCCGCATGCAGAAGCGTATCATGATGAATGCCAGGAGTGACGGCGTCCAGGGCCCGGCGGTGGCGCAGTCGGCGGCGCCGGCCGCGGCGGCTGAGACGGCGCCCCAGGCCGCCCCGCCGCCCCCGCCGCCGCCGCCGCCGGCGCCCGCCGCGCCCGCCGCAGCTCCGCCGCCGCAGAGACAGGCCGTGCCCCTGGCGTCTATACTGACTGCCTCCACCAAACCGGCCCAGCCTCAGCCCCAGGGACAGCGGCCGGGGATGCCGTCGTCTCCGGTGGCGCCGCAGCCGCCGGAGCGGGTGCAGTCCCATCGGCCACAGTTCCGGAGCGACCAGGGCGCGCAGATGGCGCCACCGTCGCTGACCAAGATGGCAGCACATTCGCCGCTGGCCGAGGGGCCGCAGTCCCCTGTTCGATCGGTGCCGAGTCCTACATCGCCGCAGACACAGCCGATCCGGTTCTCTACGGAGCCGCAGCGCGCCTCCCCGCCGCAGCAGCTCCCGTCTCAGAGGGACCCCTCCCCACCCACCCCCGCCGCCGAGCGGATGGCCTCCAACCCGCCGTGGAGAGTCACCAAGAAACCAGCCACCCCGGACTGCGCCGACGGTGGCGCCCCCTTTACCGGCGCCGGTGGCGCCACCCGCGGCCAGGGCGAGCTCTACATCCGGCCGGTATCCAGCGAGCCGGAGCCGGTGGCTCCCGGCGTCCAGCTCCGCTCGGCTCCCGTGCCGTGGCTCAGCGGCTCCCCCACGGTGGCGGAGCCCGCGCCAGAGTTCGCCGCCGCCGCGCAGCAGATCGAGGCGGCGCGGCAGGGCCGACTGACGCAGAGTCCGGCGCAGAGTCCGGCGGCCGCGGCCAGCCCCCAGCCGCGGTTCCCCCAGCCGCCCGCCGCTCAGGCCGTGAGGCCCCAGGTGGTCCCTCTGCAGTCGCAGTTCAGCCAGGAGGGCCCGTCTCGGCCGAGGATGGGGTACACGCAGCAGATGCTGCAGCAGCACATGGACCAGGACCAGAACTACCAGCGGCAGCAGCGACAGCAACAGCAGCAGCAGCAGCAGCCGCAGTTCCAGCAGCAGCAGCCGCCGCAGAGGCAGATCTCTCAGCAGTTCCAGCAGCAGCAGCCCCCGCAGCGGCAGATCTCTCAGCAGAGTCAGCCGCGGGAGCACATCATCTCCATCCGGCTGGAGGGTTCTCCGCCGAGAACCTCCCCTCAGCAGCCTCAGCAGCAGCCTCAGCAGTCTCAGCAGTTCCATCCGCAGCAGCAGCAGTTTCAGCCGCAGCAGCAGCCCCGACCGGCCCACCCGGGCCCAGCGAGACAGCACAGCACCAGCGCACAGGTAGGAACGGCAGCCATATTTAAATAGTACGTCACTTGGGTGTGCTAAATTAATCCATATGAGATCATTTATTCGAAATACGTTTTTCGCTAGTCGTATTATGCTTTAATTTTTGTATTGCTTATGTCATGTGCTCGTTTAGTTGTCGCCGAAGGTCGGTCCTGTCTGACGTTAGTTCTCGTCTCTCCCACCAGAGGGTGATCCCCGTCCAGCTGGTGGCCACGGAGGACGGTACCCCGGTCCTGTCTGACGTTAGTTCCCGTTTGTCCCGCCAGAGGGTGATCCCCGTCCAGCTGGTGGCCACTGAGGACGGTACCCCGGTCCTGTCTGACGTTAGTTCCCGTTTGTGCCACCAGAGGGTGATCCCCGTCCAGCTGGTGGCCACGGAGGACGGTACCCCGGTCCTGTCTGACGTTAGTTCCCGTTTCTCCCACCAGAGGGTGATCCCCGTCCAGCTGGTGGCCACGGAGGACGGTACCCCGGTCCTGTCTGACGTTAGTTCCCGTTTGTGCCACCAGAGGGTGATCCCCGTCCAGCTGGTGGCCACTGAGGACGGTACCCCGGTCCTGTCTGACGTTAGTTCCCGTTTGTCCCGCCAGAGGGTGATCCCCGTCCAGCTGGTGGCCACGGAGGACGGTACCCCGGTCCTGTCTGACGTTAGTTCTCGTCTCTCCCACCAGAGGGTGATCCCCGTCCAGCTGGTGGCCACGGAGGACGGTACCCCGGTCCTGTCTGACGTTAGTTCCCGTCTCTGCCACCAGAGGGTGATCCCCGTCCAGCTGGTGGCCACTGAGGACGGTACCCCGGTCCTGTCTGACGTTAGTTCCCGTCTCTGCCACCAGAGGGTGATCCCCGTCCAGCTGGTGGCCACTGAGGACGGTACCCCGGTCCTGTCTGACGTTAGTTCCCGTCTCTGCCACCAGAGGGTGATCCCCGTCCAGCTGGTGGCCACTGAGGACGGTACCCCGGTCCTGTCTGACGTTAGTTCCCGTTTGTCCCACCAGAGGGTGATCCCCGTCCAGCTGGTGGCCACTGAGGACGGTACCCCGGTCCTGTCTGACGTTAGTTCCCGTCTCTGCCACCAGAGGGTGATCCCCGTCCAGCTGGTGGCCACTGAGGACGGTACCCCGGTCCTGTCTGACGTTAGTTCCCGTTTCTGCCACCAGAGGGTGATCCCCGTCCAGCTCTTGGCTTCTGAGGACGGTACCCCACACGTCAGTATTGGCGGCCGACTGATTCCACTGACGGGGGAGAGCGTCACACTGCCCATGGGCCTGGTCCTGACTGAGGCCGACCAAGCCAGGTGAGCGGCCCGTGACGTCACCGGTGACCGGTGTGTGACGTCAGCCGGCACCCACCAACGACACAGTGGGCAGAGGACCGGCTGCATGCGCTCAAAGCTAACGGCTAACTTATTACAAATATGTGCTCACAAAAATATGATTTTGTAATAGACGTGTAAGGTATATTTGGAGAAGTGCCGCCCTTTTAATGCTGTTCGCTTTATTTTAATCATTGCCATTTTAATCTTTCACTGAAAAAACACTTGTTTTTAAAATGAAAATGCGTATTTGCATTGGCCGATTTTAAACAAAGTTGTCGAAAAGTACTTATTTTTACTCCCTGCCGACGATGCAACTTTCGAATTTTGGACGCCAATGCAGTACCTAACTAAGCCTCTTTTTAATCCCAAAAAGCTATTATTTCCCCAAAACAACTTAACATTTTAGAACGAGAAGGAATTTGATTTATAGATTTATGAGTACGAATAAATCTAAATAAATCAGACAAGTCAAAATGTATGTGTCATTAGTATGCCATGGCTTGTGACGTCTAAGATGGGACATAGTTATGCGTCACTGAATGGAATTACCTAATTGCGCTATGCTTGCTGATAACGTTTCTAATGCGTTCTTCTTGACCTCAACCATGATGAACATACCTAGTAGTTGAAATAATTGTTAATTCTATTTATCTAAATTTAGGTATTCATAGATATTCTAACAACAATTTGGTATAGAGTAGTATCTTTTCGCTTTGCGCTCTTCATTTACAGATAACCACTATCTAAGCATTGTACTTGTCTTCTTCTTACGCTGTTTCTAACGCACCATCTCGCTGCGACTCGCATCTGTTATTAATAGCGTAATCCGCACTGGTCTCCATAGTCTCTCAGGATCGTTCTCCCGGTGTATTTTGATGACGTCACTGGCTCACAGTGGGTCTCCCTGGTTTTGCGGCGTTTTCAGTCCGCCCGTGGCGAGGACGACTGAGCCACCTCAGTCGAAATCTTTCAGGCTGATCCAGCAGGTGGCAGACGCCCAGGCGGCGGCGGCAGGCCCTTCAGCAGCACCTTCGGCTTCGTCAGGTGGGTGCTGGGGAGCGGCAGAGGCTGATACCTCCTGTGACCCGGTGTGGGGGTGTGCTGGTTATTGTCCATACCGTCCTATATAGGTACTAACGGGTTACGAGCGGGATCGTGGTGTTTTGGTCCTCTTGGTCCTCAGTTGGCTGTATGTCACTTTTATCCACATCATCGAAAACAATATGCGATAAAGTACATTCGCCTCCCATTTATCGCCACAAATACCCTTATGTGCATAGTAATGAATACGATGCTCACTGGGACGATTTTGAGTTTTCTGGCCCGGGTGTCTATGACCTTTGAAATCCAGTCTACTTGAAAGCCTAAGCATCGATGTAGTGATGTAGTTAATTTCGCCCCGAGAATCGTTTCGCGTACCCCGAATCGGCAAGGTCATCGACCGCGACCGCTCCACATTCGGCGGACGATGGTGTTCAAACATACAAACATGTCTGCGTGGCGGCCCTCCAGCACCAACATTGGCACAGGTGCTCAGCGCTCACCACCGGATTTCCTGCCCCCCTCTCTCTCTCCCTCCCTCCCTCCCTCCCTCCCTCCCTCCCTCCCTCTCTCTCTCTCTCTCTCTCTCTCTCTCTCTGTCTCTGTCTCTGTCTCTGTCTCTGTCTCTGTCTCTGTCTCTGTCCCTGTCCCTGTCCCTGTCTCTGTCTCTGTCTCTGTCTCTGTCTCTGTCTCTGTCTCTGTCTCTGTCTCTCTCTTTTCTCTCTCTCTCTCTCTCTCTCTCTCTCTCTCTCTCTCTCTCTCTCTCTCTCTCTCTCTCTCTCTCTCTCTCTCTCTCTCTCTCTCTCTCTCTCTCTCTCTCTCTCTCTCTATTTATGTTGTCTCGCTGCCAGTTTATGTGTGACCTGACCTTCCAAGGTCACCGCCGCGCTGCGTTGCTATGGTTACTCCGCCGGGCCACACACAGTCACTGTTGATCGTCACGCGCCGGTGATGCCCCCGGGCACCGTAAGGTCGGTCGTCTACCCCCCCCCCCCCCAGAAGGGACAGGGAGGGTAGACGCCCCCGGGTGTGTATGTGGGGGATGAGGGGGTGTTTGGCTGTGTTTACCAGAGGCGCAGTCAGCTCCTATGTGGTCGGGGTCAGGTTCGAGACATTAGGGGTCACTGAGAGGAACTCCAGGGCCAGCGTTTGGCGGGCACTGCCGTCTTCACTCTTTACCGTAGCTGGACATCAATTTCTTATTTTCAGTCATAACTGTACTTTTGGTTCGTCGTTTAGCATAGGTAGTAAATGTTATTACCCAAAGAGAAATGTTATTACCCAAAGAGCAAAAAACATCTTATACCCATCGTAATTACTATTATCAACAGCTGCTGTGGGCGGTGAGCTTAGAGCGATCTCTTCGGATGACCACTGTCAGCATGTCGAGACTTTCGATATCGATTTCACTTCCCAATCTGTTTATAAACATGGCTTCGCCAGGGGGCACCCGGATTTGAACCGGGGACCTCTCGATCTGCAGTCGAATGCTCTACCACTGAGCTATACCCCCATAGTCGCTGCTGCGTATCACCGAGCGTGTAACACATGGCCGGTGTGACGTCATCAAGTTTATAGAAGATCTTTTTATCATGAGAGAATCGTCGAAAAACTTTTTTATTGCATTCAATTGATCTGTTTCTCACATTGCAGGTAAAGATCACGCTAGTTACTATTCGTTGCCTGGTTAAATGAAACTCGTTTTATCATATTTATATGCGAACTCAACTTTGGCTAAATTATCTTCCAATTTTGTCAGTTCCTGATCAAATGACCCAGTACCCGACCTTCCTTCAAGTCATCTTCCGCCCTCCGCATCTCCGCTTCCGCCGTCCGGTTTTTACCACCGGTGACATCACGGCCGCCGCTGATGACGTCACTGGGTCAGCGGGCGGCGCGCTGACCCAGTTCCCTGCTCGCTGGAGTGAGGGGGAGGGGGCAGACAGCGGCCATTTGTTACCTCCTGCAACTACCGGTCTCAGTGGACAAACAAGGCAGCGGACGGCCGGGACGGGAACGAGGCTGGATCACTGGCGAGGGGATGGGTCGGTGAGGGATTTGATTGGGAGGGGAGAGCTGCAGTGGTTGGTGGCCTGAGATAAGGACAGACGACTGACGAGTCTGTTTTCAGTTTTTCAGTGACAGAATTAATAGAGAAAGATTGGTTTTAAGTCTGCTGATGTGATCGAGTATTGGAAGGAGCAAATGTGCATTAGGTAAAAATGTGATAGGTATAGGTACACACCTGTGATATAAAATATACTTTATTTCTTCACGCAAAGCTGCACTGACGGCTGAATTACATCATATCAATGTCTGGTAGAACTGCTGCGTAACAAAAGTATTTATCCAATATCTACCCACCGATCAGCCCAACACCCGTCTTTCTCCATTCCCTCCCCCTCCCTATTTTCGTGTCAGTCTCCATCTCCTTCTCTCCTCTTCTCTTCTCTTCTCTTCTCTTCTCTTCTCTTCTCTTCTCTTCTCTTCTCTTCTCTTCTCTTCTCTTCTCTTCTCTTCTCTTCTCTTCTCTTCTCTTCTCTTCTCTTCTCTTCTCTTCTCTTCTCTCTCTCTCTCTCTCACTCTCTCTCTCTCTCTCTCTCTCTCTCTCTCTCTCTCTCTCCCTCCCTCCCTCCCTCCCTCCCTCTCTCCCCTCCTCTCCAGCGCCGTGTCACGGTCGCCGCCGTTACCGACTCCTTCCTGGTTTCTGTAACTACAATCGGTCCGTGATGTCATCCGTCATCCCACTCCGGATAAGTACCGTCGTTACCGTCCATAGAGAGCTCTGTTCCCATGACGGTCACAGCGGCAGGGGCGAGCACAGGGCAGGGGAGCGGGTCGGTCACCAGTCGCAGAGGCGAGTCCAGGTATGAAAAAAATATTGGCTTGTCGACTCTTGTTAATAGCAATATTTTTATCATCTAACAATTAATTAGTCGTCCGCATACCTGACTAGAGCGCCAGGTATACTGGAGATGATCGTGTTAGCCCGTCCCCATTAGTTGTAACTTTTTATTTTGTCATGCTTGGACTCCCTTTTTCATTCTTGAAGCTGCCATTTTCGCTCAGTCTTCCGTACGAGTTGGTTGCGTCTATCTCAGATCTCTATCCCTCTTTCTCTCCTTCTCTCTTACCTTCAGTCTTTTTGTTCCTTCTCTCTCTCTCTCTCTCTCTCTCTCTCTCTCTCTCTCTCTCTCTCTCTCTCTCTCTCTCTCTCTCTCTCCCTCTCTCTCTCTCTCTCTCTCTCTCTCTCTCTCTCTCTCTCTCTCTCTCTCTTCCTTTCCATCTTGTCGACGTCGCATACTCAGACTCACCCACCATCATCTCCCCTCTCTAAACTCTCTGTTCCTTCCCGTCACATCATCACCTTCCCTTCCCCTCCCCCTCCCGTCTCGACCCCCAGCCTCCCGGCCGGTCGTCAGCGGCCCACTCTCCACTGGGCCAAGGGCACAGAGCACACACAGAGCGGCTCCTTCATACACGACCCAGCTGACCCCGTGCTCTCACTGAGGCCGCGGTACGGGGGTAGCGCCGAGCCGCTGCCGCACAGGCCGCGGTACGGGGGTAGCGCCGCGCCGCTGTCACTGAGGCCGCGGTACGGGGGTAGCGCCGAGCCACTGTCACTGAGGTCAACTGGCGCCGAGACTCGAGAGACTGGCCCCCGAGAGAGCCTCAGCACAGGCCACAGACACCGTACCGTAGGAGGGTTCGGGGAGGTGGCCTGGAAAGGGGACTGAAGTGATGTAAAAGGTACCAGCTTGAAGAAAAGGAAGCCATCGTTTGGCTTTATTTCGGAACGTTTTCGCTGTCGCTTTATTGCGCTATGATACGCTAATATTTTGAAAGCCATTTTAGTATTGGGTTTATCTGATTTTTCTTGATGTGCAGCTAAACAAAAGTTAAAACTCAAAATCATGCCGGTAATCAATGGCAATTTTGAGGTAGCGACGGTAGCGTATCATTATACACAAATCACAATGCCGCTACCCAAGTTAACCTGTCTCGCGCCTGTGCCGCCTCCTGATGCGTCTCTGCCGTCCTGTGCCGCCTCCTGATGCGTCTCTGCCGTCCTGTGCCGCCTCCTGATGCGTCTCTGCCGTCCTGTAGCCACCTCCTGATGCGTCTCTGCCGTCCTGTGCCGCCTCCTGATGCGTCTCTGCCGTCCTGTAGCCATCGGAGCTGTTCAGTATGGCTCTAACTGTGATAAACACAGCGGCGCGCTACCAAACCGTTCGGTTGTTTAGCTCCGGGACACCCGGGGCTAAACAAGCAGTGAGTCAGCAAGAACGGGAAGTTACTAGAGTTTTTCGCTAAACGGGGTCAGTTAAACGGGGACAGGGTCTCACAGTGGTTAATGCTGAACTGGATTTTGACAAATTTTCACGAGTATCGATAGGGGCTTAGTTGTACGTGATAAGTCCCTGGATAGTAGACAAGCTGGATTATTACAGAGGATTATCTGCACTGAACCGATTTATTCTTACCAGGCGTAGGCAGATTTGATCCAATCAACGATAAACCAATGCATTGCTCTTTCAAAGAAACGTAAAAACACCATATAACGTTCCTCTAAAACGTTAAAAGCCATGCTACGAGCTCAAAGATCAGCCCGACGCTGGACCGGTGGGTTTGAAATTTGCATCACAAATCGGTTAACTCCGAGTTGAGTCCTAACCACAATGTTGTAGTCGCATTCCGTTGGTCTGTGGTTGTCTGAACAGTAAACCGACTGGGAACCACCACTGCCTAATTCAGGCAGCCCGGAGTGAATCCCTGCGACCCATGAAACTGCAAAGGCCTATAGGATTTGGCCAGAATCTACACGTGAGGGATTCGTCTTCAGGTAAAATCCTTTAGGAGGAGAGAAGTCTTCTTCCACCCGAGTCCGTCATATCATCACAGCGGCATGATAGTCAGCTGTGAGTAACTAGGACTCTCTGACCTAAACTTACTAGACAGACGTTGGGCTGAAGGCTGGGTTATCTATGGTGAAATATAGACAACCGCTAATTACCAGCAGTGACCGACCCTGATCATTTTCACATCCTGTCCAATTTGTGTTGGGCAACTCAGTAGCGGACCAATGACTCATTTACCGCAGACGCCAGGGTGCGTAAGGTAAGCGGACTTCCGTCCTGGTGCCCTACACGCCATGCCCTTCCTCTCGCACACTTTCTCTCTCAGCAGCGGATTCAGCGTATACAGGGCCTTGGGTCCAGCGATGGGAGCCGAGAGAACGGCCGAAAGGTTTCTGGATTTTTTTTTTTGTATGCGGACCTCACTCAGTGCCGAATTTTCAGAAATAGAGATCTGAATAATTTATATGCGCAGGACGTGACAGTTTATGAGCAGGTACGAACCTCCTCGAACTGTCGATGCGGCATACACATTTATGGAATCTTTGAGAAAGAACCGTTTACAAGTGCATCCTTAGCCCAAAATCGTTTACCGTTTAGGTATGCAACTATCCGGCCTACATAACCGTGCTACTGTTTCCGCCTATGAAATCTCATACCGCGCGCACCGACTCACGCCCCCCCATCCCCCCCCCCCCACCCACACGCGCTGTGCGTGCCGCGCCTCCCAATATCTCGGTACCTGCACGCCCGGCGGCGGGTACCCGCGATGACGTCACGGTCGCCGAGGTCAGCTGACAGCCTAGTGTAGTTCCATATACGGCAGTGACCGCCAGTCGCTGCCCGTCGTCCGAGCGGGAACCGTGTGTGTGCTGTGGCACGGTGGTGTGTGCTGCTGGAGGTGGTGACTTTCTGAGGAGTTCTGCGCAGAAATCTGTGGTTTGTTACTTCTGGGTAGTGAGGCGGGTTTTGGGGTATTCTTACGGACGATGCGGTGTTTCGCTTTATTCCGTTTATTTTATTACTTCAGAATGGACAGTTTAAAATGTAGAATAATGCGGATAATTAAAATCACTTGTCTGAACGCCGTGACGTAGGTTTGCTAATCTTATCAAGCACCAAAACTCCTAGTTATCTGTTTCCCAACTCGGTCTCATCTAGGCTGTTTAGGGAATAGGTATATGTTTTTTTATTTGTATCCGAAAAGAAACGACCTTCTGCTCTCGGTTTCTCGACTGTATTCCAGTACAGTTCCAATGCATTTCTTTCAATGTATCGATTCCCTGAAATCTTCCACACCAATAACCTAAGCCAAAACAAAGCATCACTTCCGGTAGCAGTCGGCCTCCATGATCTCCACTTCCGGCGGCCGTTGTCGGGTCTGACCTTGTCCCCACAAAAAGTAGCAGGCGCTGGGGGGCACCGTTATAGGGTATTTGGTGCGAGGAAATTATCGTGGATTCGTCAATCGTGTTCAATGCTCATTGCTCATTACTCACTCACAGTCACGACGCACCATACCAATAAAAGGGTATCTATTCTCTCAGTTACCACCAGTCAGTTTGAAGTTTCGGCAGACCGTTGACAGCTCTTCCAAAATCTTCTAACGCTAATGGATTGTGGACATGCGATTGATGACGGTTACCATTTGCGGTAAGGTACCTATGGCTCATCACTCCATTCCCGGTAAAGCGGAGACCATCTAAGGTCGCCTTTTCTTCCCTGGAGGATAGGCCCGGCGTCTTTAGTACCCTCCTCGCTCCGTCGGCTCCCTTTGATGTCTGACGGTCACGCGGATCATTTCTCCCCGGGGGCGCTGCCGGTGCACAGAGGCCGGGGAGCAGCACAGTGCCCAGTGCACAGTTTGCACAGTGAATAGTGCAAAGGAGGGGGCAGCGGCGCGTGAAATGAACGCCGGAAAGATTTGGCGAGACGGACATAGAGTGGAATGCATAGTGCATAGACGTAGGTATGTGTTTGTATGCATAGCGTATGCAATAAGCATGCACCCGTTTCAGCATGCATATGCAGGATCATGCATGCATGATTGTCTTATTCTTTGCCTGGTATATTCATTATTGTATATTAGCAATAATACTCAGGTTTCCTATAAAATGCCAGGTCCTCCGCTCTGGTTTTTAAGTTTTAAATTCTGTCACCTCAGTGAAATTTTTAGCGTACCCCATCCCTACCTTCTGCGCTGCACGGGGGTCACAACTCAGGAATTCGTTGACCCTGGTCTCTTGGAGTACGCTCATCTGGAGATAGCCTTATAGGGGAGAGCATTTCCACATAACTCGTGTCGAATGTGGAGTGACACAATCTCCTCAGTAGCTGACCCCGGGTGGTTTCAGCGAAGTTTCTGGGTTTAGATATACGAATCGCGCTGTTTGAGTAGGTACAGCTGTGTTGCCATGGAACTAATTTATTCCTTTGCATGAAGGACATATTTCATGGATTCGTAGAGACTACCGGTAAGCTTTATGCGATACAAATAAACAAATATACTAGCACCGAAAGTTGCACTCTGGTTCTGGAATGGCAGACAGAGTGGCAGGCTCGTGGGTCTCAGAAGCTGCGGGAAACTTACCCCGGAGCCCCGACCCGACAGCTCTGCTCGCATAGGCAATAGACGTCAGGGGACCAGGAAGTGAACGACTGCAACATATGCTCTTTGAAAAGTAAATGTAACTTTTGAAAACAATTTGTCGAGGCACACAACAAAGCATCATGCCGAGTCTCCGAACTTGAACATCGATCCCGGTTACGAAAGTGATTGCCTTCCTCCGGAAGTGCCGTCTCTGTGTCATCACCGACCCTCCAATCACCTCCCCCCCCCCACCAAATCACCCTGACCCTGACCCGTCTGCCTGCGCGCGCCGCTCCATCGCTGACCTCTGGCCCGGCTCTGTTCCAGGCGCCGCGCCGCGCCCCCGCCCCGCCATGACCTCGGCCGACACCGGCGATGACCTGGTGCCCTGTATGAGGAGCGTCCAGCTCTCCGATGGCGACAAACAGCTGATGAGCGCCTTCAAAAACAAAGGTGGGTCTGTAGTCGGTGACGTCACTGGTTTAGCAGGTGTGCTACGTCACTGGTGGAACTTTTTGTCGTGCGCTGATCACTGCTTGTATTTGCTCATGGTGTGGTCTCTAATGACATGTGCTGAAGGTCAAAAGCGTGTGTGGAATCTGGTCTCGTTATTTTGTTTTGTGATTTCAATGTACGATTGTTTTGCAATTGTTGTTCCTCAGATCGTGTTTGTATTTATAAGCTTCTCTCGATAAAAAAGTCTGTTTGCAGGACGAAGTCTGAAAGTTTTCCGCTGGCTGATTCATTCCCTGATTCGGTTATCTTCTTTGGACAATTAATCAATCTCCTCGCTTATATAAACAGGTCTAGGTCTATGTAGATGTGAAACACCCCCTGACCTCTACATCAGCCCCAGTCCAGAAGGCAGCTGCCCCAGTTTGAACTCCTCCCCACCCCCTTCCCAAGTGTTCCGTGGAACAATGGGGTCTCAATGTCCATCGGACACAGTTACTACTGCACTCTCAATGAGGTCAGGTTGGATAACGTCACAGCTGCAGAGCTATCGTGCGATCCAATTTCAATCCAGTGCTGATGTTTAGTTTGGAAAAGCTTGATCTTCTTTTGATTTTCCCTTCCTACACTCAACGAGAACTAAAACAATTATTGTTTTTTGTTGGATTCAGTGTTGTCACGTTGAGGCCCAGATTTATTTGGAGGATCCGACTGAAGGTCAGTACAAACTGATCGTCTACGTGTGCATTTCGGTTTTATTCAGCCGCCACAATATCCGCGAAATATCCCCTCGAACATCCCCTCCTGTCCATAAGGTCGTCCCTCCCGTGTTCCAGCCCAGTATTCTGACCCTTACTGCCGTCAGACGTTCGGCCGTCCGGCCGTGGTGATGTCATCTCAGCGCCAGCCGTGTTTATTTCGACCTGTGCACGCTCGTTAACGCTGCAAATGTTTCCAATAGTCGGGACCGCTCCCGGCTGCGACAGGCCGTGTCTGGTTCACGTCCACCTGTCGATAGATTAAGCGTTGAGGGATTTAACGAATACCGCAATAGGTAATGACCACATGTTAAAATACAATTACTGCTTCAGAGAACTAATATCCAAAGTAATAGATTGTTAGGCTAACAGACGGAGAATGTCGTCTTTCATTGTCTATGTTGCATACAAACGTTCCTTAAGCTCATTCTTGTTTTTATTTTTTTTGCGAGAAGTTCATCACCCATTCAAATAAATCCAATTATTTCTAAGCCAATGTCTTAAAACGTTCTCCAATGCGTGTGTATCCTAAATCATAAGAAACGCTCTTTATGACCTAATTAATGAAAACTATTCATTTACATTCATTTATATCCGATCCCCACCACATCACCGCTATTTCTGTTGCGTTTCGTCGCAGAAATAGCCGCCACTGGCCGCCCCATCCCCTGACCCACCTGTCTGCCCCCTCCCCCTCCCTCCCCCTTGGACGATCGCTGACCTCTTCGCCCATAAATCTGTCGTGATCACCCCCTCCTCCCCTCCCCCACCGGAGGCGCTAGGGGAGCAACGGCCGGCCAATGGCAATAAATGCCAGCTACGGCCTGCGTCTGGGGAGAGGAGGGGAGCAGGAGAGAGGAGAGAGGGGTAGTTTGGGGAGCAGAGTTGTACTATGACGTCATATGTTATGTCTACCGACCCTGCGCTGACTGTTCTGCGTAAACTAAAAATAGCGTGATGCGTGGGACGTGGGTGCTGTGCTAGCGACCAGACTTGTGCCAAGATCCCAAAAAGATCCGAGATCCAGGATCTGCAAGATCCAAGATCCGGGATCTTGAGGGATCTTGGATCCAGCACTTCAGGTTTTGCCCAAGGATCCTGGGGATCCAGGACTCTGGTCATCATTTTGTCGAGGGATCCTGGGGATCTTGGATCCTGGCTTTTGATTTTGTCGAGGGATCTTGGGGATCTTGGTTCCTGGTTTTGGATTTGTCGAGGGATCCTGGGGATCTTGGATCCTGGTTTTTAACAGGAATATTTTACACATCAGTCTACCATGATTAAATGCCTACCAACCCTATCCATTGCTAGCAAATTCAAATCTCCTGAGGATGAATATCTAGCCAGAAAAACCAATGTGCAAAACATTAGCATGTACAACTGTTAAACTCACTTTGTACTGGAAGGAAGACATACTCTACTAACTAAGGTGCTCAAGGTTTCAAAGTATATATCAGCATAAACACATCTTAGACTTTGTGGGCCGTACTATTAACTGGAGTATTTGCCAGCTGGCGTCGTATGGTGGCGCTAGCAGAGCTTGTAAGATATCAATGATAGATATAAAGTTTGGTCGATATCAGTTTGGCATTGGTTTCGAAAATTTCTTAAATTTACATCACAAACATGTACATAAAAAAATCTGAAATTTACATCACTAGCATGTACAATTACATACATGTCCATTTAGCATGCAATTCTCCAGGGCTAGAACTGAGGCAGTTGCAGTCTGCAGTTGCAACTAACAGATAAATCATCCTAAAATTGTGATTGTGCGTTGGATCTTGGGGATCTTGGATCCTACAATATTGATATTGCGTGGGATCTTGGGGATCTTAGATCCTGGAAGTCTGATCCTGCGCGGGATCTGGTGGATCTTGGACCCTGAAATTTTGATTTTGTGTGGGATCCTGGGGATCTTGGATCTTGCAATTTGATTTTGCATGGGATCTTGGGGATCTTGGATCCTGAAATTCTGAAATTGTGTGGGATCTTGCGGATCTTGGATCTTGATTTTTGGTCGAGGCACAAGTCTGCTAGCGACCCATTCTTTTTTTTCATTTAATCCTACTGCCATCGGCATCAATCTGCTTCTGTCCTTCTCCCGTCTTGCTGAGAGCTCTGTCTTGGTTTATAAATGGTTCTGATTCTACCTAGCGGACCTGGTTGTTGATCTTATGTTGTAGGCGGTCATTCCCGTAAGCAGCTCTGCCCAGTCATAGGGGCGTGATTTAGTATCTCCGCTTATGAGAGCGTTAATCATATGTAGACGTGGTACGCACATATATAACCTCAGGACACATGTATAATATCAGAACGGTCCCGGCACTTTCGGCCATTTTTTATACCCTGTATGACAGTTGACAGTTACTAGGACCGTCCCCATGGTTGACCTCAGACCCTTCTGTATGGGACTGGGAGTAATTGATTATGTTGGGGCCTTTGACAGCCCACATTATATTAGGCCTTTCATGTGATTGTCAGTTACAATGTGCACCAATTTTGAGAATAGAATGGCATCATTACCGCGCAATATCAGGACTAGATGAAATAAAACTGGAAAATGAGCGGTATCCTCGAAATGTGACACCGTCAAAATATTCCATCTTTTCCGAACATTAGTTCATTGAAGCGGCGCGATTCCCCCTAATACCGCGTCTGCCGACGTCTGGTATATTTCTGGGCGTTGTATTTGGCAGCCGGGTGCTGCCAGATGACCGTCTGGGCGTCCATGGATTACGGGCCGGTACGAGCGGTGATCAAATCCCTCGCAGCGCACACAGTACCGGGGCTGCTCTGAAAATAGCCACTGTTTGGGCCTGAGCCGAGCGACGCCCGGTGTCCGGTATCATGGGTGTGTGGGAAAATGTGAAATTTAGCTAACTATTAGGAACACCTGTAAATTATTAATTGCCATACCCTGATTGAAATTCACAAATAGGATTTTTCCAGAATGTACGCCAAAATTGTCCCATTTTTTCGACGAGGCAACCTCTGTGTCATTGCAAGTCTAAAGCGCTATTGAAGACGGTTGTTGCAATGCTGTTCCCTGGGGTTTCACTTTCTCAAGTAAAAATGTGAAGGTGTATGTAATTAAAAAACGCCATATGTGTAAGACAGCGAATTTTCCTGGTTAAGCTGCAGCGTCCCCCATGACCCGATGACCTGACCCTGCCCTCCCTCTGCAATCCCGCTGGAGCCTGTTCAAACATCCCACTCGGCCTCTGTCGCTGCCCGCCGAGTTTGCGCCTTCTTGGCATGGCCACTAAGGCGGAAATTGGCGTGTTGCCGGGTAAGCAAACCACCTTTACGGCCGCCGGCCGGTGGGGCGGCGCCGGCACGCCAGGTGTCAGTTCCTCGCCAGACCTCCTCGTGTGCACACCTCCGCTCCTCTGATCCTCATCCTCGTCCTCCCGGAGTTTGCAGTTTGGTTTTGAGATAGATTTTTGGATGGGTGAAAGCACCATCGGCTTTTATGTAGTGTCATTTCCTGCGATTTTGTTTCTTTTGGGAAATATTCTTGTTTTTTTTACAACGCACACTTTATGGTAGTTAGATCGTGACCCCGCCCCTTGGTGTTTTCTTTTTCCTTTCATTTTTTCCTTTGTATCCTTCCCAAGTAGGGGAAGGAGGGTGAATTGCGCCACCTTAAGGAAAAACGCTAATTGTAAGAAAACCGCTGGAGATATAAGCATGCATTGGTGACCATTTCAAAGAGGAGCTCATTGGCTACGATTTAAGAGCCTCCTGATCAATTAAGAATGTTTCGTTTGCTTCTGACAGCTGCTTTTTCAGAAACATGTAAAAGGGCGCATTTGCCAACAACTGCTGTAAATTGCGCCAGGGGGATGGCGCAATTAGAACCCAATTGCGCCCTATACTTTAACATGGCTAAGCGAATGAGACGGAATGCATACACCCCGGCAGTCTAATGTCATTGCGGCTTACTTTAACATTCATAATGTTATTCACGCTGGTTAAATAATAAATGTAGGTGTAAATCGCGATGTTTTTTTGCCCAGGTAGATAACTTTACATGTGTTCGTACGCTTGTAAAAGTGCAACGAAAACGTTTACTGTAACCGACTAGATATATGTGAACGTATGCGCCTATACGGTTACATTTTCAATCGTTTCTCTCAAAATTAATAATTTTTATTGTTTCGACAGCTTTATGACATCAGTTTTTACTTTTTATCATAGCTGTCACCTCTCACGCCTGAGTCCATGTTGAAAATGTCGTATTTTGTCAATTACACCACAAGTTCGTAGCCTAAATGGCAGCTGCATTATAATTTTGACGAGAGAAATAAGTTGCGGACTGACGACAGCGGGTTGCTCCCCTGCCTGACATTAAACTCCTTCTTTATTGCAATCAGTTAATGATGCATTTATGCTGACGTGATACAATAGCTACACCATTATTCTATTTGCGCCCCCTGGCGCAATTGCCATGGGCGCAATTAAAATTGAGGTACTTTTTAATAAAAGCGTGGAAGTTATCATAAAGATGTTGAAGGAAGTTAACTGTTTTAGTGAAATATAATGAAAAAAGGGGTTTTCTTTCTAAATATCACTCTGAAAATCACACAAATATCACACATTTTTATAGCCAACGGTTCAAAATACTGCAAAAAAGCTAAGAAAACGCCGTAACATCTTTCATGGCGTAATGAGCCTTGCTGATTGGCTTCATCGGGGAGCTTGGGCCATAAAAGGAACTATCCTGTGGGGAAAATAATGTTTTCGAACACAAAATTCAAAACATGCCATTGAATCCGTGGGAATGTTGGTGGGCGCAATTGGTTAGGAGGGCGCAATACACCCACTTTCCCCTAGCCCATCCATCAAAATATCACGATCAGCACCAGGGTTGTCGGTCTGTGGAGTTCGGTAAGATGCTGTCCAGTGTCCAATGATCTTCTGTGTGTCATTTATGTGCATTACGTGTGATATCTGTACATTGCTGGTCATCCCTGTTTCCCTAGATATGAGTCATTTTGGGCCTCTTGGTTTCGTGTTTTTCCTGTTGAACACGTGTCATCCCTGAGTGTTGATTGTTGAGGCTGCCATTTGTGGCGGAATTGCTTTGTGTCACCGTTGTAGACATGTCTCGTCATTACAGCTCTGTGATATGTCCTTTAGTTGTGATCCTAATTTGCATTTGTCGCCACAGTGACTGAACAGCCTTATCCATCCCTATCTGCTGTTGTGTCACCCTATGTAACGCTGTTGTGTTGTCTTATGCCAACTTCCACGTTACGTAACGTCACCCTGCCTGATCACCGCGTCACTGCTGTGTCGTGTGTCACTGCTGTGTTTGTGTCACTACTGTGTCACCACGGTGTCACCGTATCCCTTTCCGGCCGTGTCACTGTGCCCCCTCCCGCCTCCCCCCTCTCGCCTCCCCCTCCCTGCACGTGACGTGCTGTACCGGCCACCCCTCGTCAGCCGTGTTCAGTTTGTTTATTTGGGTTTGATGACTGGTGCCGTGTCCGTCAGTCTGCGCTCTGTGATTGGTGGATTGGGACCATTGCTGTGAGCGATAGCCCACTCCGAAAAGGGTTGTCATCGGGCGCCAGACTGGCGGATATGTGCCGTTAGACCAGGCGTTCAACGCTATGACTTATGAGTAGTTCTCAACTAAGTATAGTGATAGGAGCTCCATTGACCAGGAGGCTGTCATCTTTTTTTCTTATTGTATAATTTCTTTTATATTGTATCACTTTGCCCGCACTTTGCATGACTGGCACGGCAGCACAAGTACCTACATGCAAATTTGGTTCTTGTTTGGTTCTATGTGCACAATCCTGGTTCTAAGGGCAGTGTGCCTGAAATCCTCGCAATTTTCGCGGCTGGCTTTTTCAGTAAAGTTTCACTGGACAGTCATTTCAACGATCTCATTTGTCTCCTCAAACACGCAACAGTCCCCAGAGCTACTTTTAGGTCGATTGACCTTCGTTCTTCTCGCCGTTTTCTGTAACTTTTATCAGTGGCTGTTCAAGGCAGCTCATTGTGCCCCACACTAGTTATTGGTAGTGGACAACATCACCTGCAGCACCGATCCGATGGCTGTCTCTCCCTGCAGTTCTGTACTCCGCTGTGGCTCCTGTCTAGGGCTACTCAAGGTATCTAACTATGCCTCGCAGTGGATGACGGCGGCCAGTACGAGGCGGAGCGCCGGCCGCTCTACCGCGGTGCCAACATCCCCTCCCGCCTGTTCAGGGAGCTCGACCACACCGGTAATCAGACTATACATACACCCACAGCGAGTATAGAGGGAGTATAAAGGGAGTATATCCTCCCTGGCGCCCCGCGCCGAGGGAGCGTGCCAGCAGCGCCGCGGGAGGAAGGTCTAACAGCCGAGGAATCTACTGGTGGCAGTGGTGGCAGCGGTGGCGCTTTGCCTTGGTTTCAGGCTTCATTGGTGGCGGTGGTGATGGTGGTAGTTGAGTGGTGGTGATGGCACTGGTAGCGGCGTTGGCGTGGATGCTAGGCTATCCTAATATCATTTTATAGCAGCCTACTTCATTTATAAGTATCATTTCATAATATCATTTTATAAGTATTTTATAGCAGCCTACTTGGTAACGGTGGTGATGGTGAGACATTATTTTTCAGGGTTCTCTTCAGGGAGAGTTGAATTCGCGTGTGCCAAGTAATGTGCTGACAAAGTTCTGTGCTTATGTGTTTTCAGAAAGAGTCAAAGCATGCAATCCAGTTTTCGTTTCCTTGCATTAACTCGCCTTTACCCCTGTGCAATGACTGACCCGTGTCATAGCCCGGATTGACCTGTGTGGTGACCCGTTGTGACCTGTACGGTGACCCGAACTGACCCGTATTCCAGTAGATGGGGAGACCGACACCTATCTCCACTCGGAGTCCGACCCGGCCTGACCCGCTGTGACCTTCCGTGACCCGTATATTGACCCGTATTCCAGTGGACGGAGAGACCGACACCTACCTGCACTCGGAGTCCGACCCGCGCTATAAGGGCGCGCACATACCCTCTCGGACGTTCCGCATCCTGCAGGCGGCCACAGGCGGCGCCGAAGGCGGTAGGGGCGGGTGCTGCCACCTGTTGGCGGCCGGAGCAACTTCAGCTTGCCGTGATGTGCATCCGAGTTTTGCCACGCGACCGCCGCTGCACGGGGCTTATTGGAGCATTTTGAGGAGTTGTTTGCCGTGATTGGGGGGAAATATATATTGTATTATGGATTGTCAATGACAAAATGTGAATGTCCTTCGCACCCTTTCTGTGTTGAATTTCAGGTGTGTTGCAGCAGTTTTAGAATACGTCTGTGCACTTCTTCTTGTGGACTTCAGTATCGTGTGACTTCATTTGTTTGTTGAGTGACCTCAAACTCCTGCCTTGCATGTCTGTTGCCTATCTTTCGGGGTTTTACGATGGTTTATCATCATGACTTTATGTTGAATGATGATCTCTCGCTGTACGCTTCTACGGGAGTCTGTACGCCGCTCGAAAACTGGTTCTGCATGCCATTGCTGTGCTTGTATTGGGGACCGCGATTTTTATCGGATTTTGCTTCATCATGCTTGCTTGGGTATGTGTTAAATTTAGGTAAGTTTGGCTCAGCTCAGGGTCAGGCACAGCTTGCACGAATAAATGCTTTATGATAAGTTTGTTATTCACTGGGGAAAGAAGCAGTACGGTGAAGCATTAGAACCTCTGGATCTTAGTTACTCAAAAAGTTGATACTTTAAAGGGCAGTAAGTAAAGACCTCGAAAAGATCTACCTGTTTCGAGATTTGTTACTTTAGGAAAGCATTCAATATTATCATTTTTTAACGACATGCTAACGTTTCGACCTAACGTTACCTCGTACGCCCGTAACCCGTGTGCCCCGTGTAAGCCTGTGTGTTTGTGTTCCAGTTTCAGGCGGCGCCCCGCCCTCCAGCTCACGGATAGGCGGTCCGGGCCAGAACAGAACAGTGGTGGTCACCATGCCAACAGGTAATAACACTACACCATTAACGAGTGTAAACAGGTCCGGGCAGAACAGAACCGTTGTTGTCAGCATGCCAACAGGTAATAACACTACACCATTAACGAGTGTAAACAGGTCCGGGCCAGAACAGGACCGTCGTTGTCAGCATGCCAGCAGGTGCAGCCGGTTATGATAAAAATGCACTGGTAATGAGTGTAAACACAGGTTTGACCAGAACAGGACCATCATGGTTTTCACCATACCGACAGGTGATAGAAGTAGTTACACCGGTATTGAGTGTTTACCATTCAGATACCTATATGCCTCATTCAGCCAGAACAGGACCGCATCGGTCACCATTCTAGATGGTAAAGATACAAGTACACAGGTGACAGGTTTCTGGTATTAAGTGCTTACTCAGCAAGGAAACGTTCATGTAACGTAAACACACTTGCAGTGTCTTGTAATCCGTTATCCGTGGCTTTATTGCCATTGAAGGATCTGTATACCTCTGCTCACGTGACTCACGGCTGCAAAAACATAATTATCGGCGATACTTTAACATTTTATTTACGCTTGTGGCGCGTAATCGGATAAAGGCCCTCTAACCAATCGGATAAAGAAGTAGGTGGCATGTGGCAACTGCTCATTTATTTCCCGGCTAACCGTCAGATCTTTCTTGCTTTATGTGGTCATTTGCGCAAGTTGATTAGCCGATCATGGGATTTTAATTATTATAAGGTTTGCCAGTGTTTGCCTGCATAAAGTTTGCATTTCAACTTGGTGATGGATCTGATTTCGATTATTTCTTCATCATCTTTCTTCGGACTACCTGTACTTCCGTGCGATTGGGGCAATGCCACCCACTGGTAAGAATTCCATCCTCCGTATAGGCCGCAATAATGTCCCATGTTTGTGAGGACCTGTCAAACTGTACCATTGCGTGTGGTGTAGTTTGTATTCGATCAAGGGCGGATCTAGGGGAACTTTTTGGGGGGGGTCACCAGTCGGCCGACATGCCGTCTGATGATGAATGAATTCTGACGACCGGGGGGGGGGGGTAGGAAGCGAGTATGTCGAGATGAAATGACATTTGATCTTCGTCGTTTATAAGATGAAGTTTTATCGTAAGTCACTCGGCTCAGTAGTTTTAGTTAGTGAAACCCACCTATACAGGAGCGTCGCCACGGATTTTTTACTGGGGGGGGGGGGGGGGTGGGGGGCGGATCGACCGACTTAAAAACCCAGAAGTAGATATAGTTACCTCACTTTTAGTCTAATGCATTAGTAGCATACAGTCACGATCTCTCTTATTGACCTGTGTATGAAATTGGCGGCGCGAAGCGCCGCAAAAATTTGCAAAAAAAAAGTTATCAAAACACAGCTCTAAAACACAAATATTACAACCCTTTTAGCATGCTAGTACAAGCCGGAGTTCCTTCACAGTAGACATATGAATTCGGATTCAATTTGACACGGTTGGTGTTATTACAGTCACGATCTATCGTATTCATCGGTGTATGAATCGGCGGCGCGAAGCGCCGAGAAAATTTGCAAAAGAATGTGTCAAAACACAGCTCCAAAACACAAATTTTACCACCCTTTTAGCATGGCAGTACAAACCGGAGTTCCTTCACAGTATACACATATGAATTCTGATTCAATTTGACACGGTTGGTTTATGTAATTACAGTCACGATTTCGTATTGACCTGTACGTATGTAGGTACATGAATCGGCGGCGCGAAGCGCCGCGAAAAATTTGCAAAAACATTTGTCAAAACACAGAAGGGGCCTCCTCTCTACAGAGGACCACCGATCTCTACTGCGGGCCTCCTCTTTTCACAGGGCCTCTTAACTACAGAAGGCCTCCTCTCTACAGAGGGCTTCCTCTCTACTGAGGGTCTCTCCCTTTCAGAGGACCTCCTTTACAGAAGCCAGAAGGCCTACTCTCTTCAAAGAGCCAGAGGACCTCATCTCTGCAAAGAGCCTCCTCTGTTCAGAGGGCCTCCTTTCTTCAGAGGGCCTCCTCTCTACAGCGGGTCTCCTCTCTTCAGAGGGCCTTCTGCATTCAGGCGGTCTCCTTTCCACAGAGGGCCTCCTCTCTACACAGGGCCTCCTCTCTACATAGAGCCTTCTCTCTACAGATGGTCTCCTCTCTACAGAGGGCCTCCTCTCTAAAGGGGCCTCCTCTCTAAGGGGTCAGACACAGACACTAGCGGTTATTCACAAGAGGCCCCAGGAAGTAAGAAGGGCCCTAGCTGTCAGGCTGGTCAGAGAGCCCTGAATGTCCTGACGTGATTTTTGAGATTCCCGTGAATTTCTTTCGCCTCCGACGTGATTTTCACCTGCCAGGGCCCAGGGGCACTAAAAATAAACCAACAAAATAAAAAATGGAAATAGGACATCACCAAAATTAAGTGGCAGAAATCCGTTGAGTTTTTAATTGTGCGTATGCCGTATAGGTAGGGGCACCACGAATTAAATTCATGACCATCCCCTTGGAGTTTTCCTGGATCATCCCCTGGTGCTCGCACGGTTGAGACAAAAACGAGTAAGATTCTGGCCTTCAATACCTACGCCTTTTCACGCAACACGATCCAGAAAAACAAAGGTATTAGCTCAGAAGTGTTTGACAGGTGATTTTGAGCATGCAAGACGGCGTCTATAGCGCATTTAGGTCTTCGGCTTTTGGGGGGGGTCAAATGACCCTCTCAGACCTTTTGGGGGGGGGTCATGACCCCGTGGACCCCCCCCAGGATCCGCCACTGTATTCGATATTCATGTTTTTCGTAAATGTGACATCTGTTGTTCAGTTAGTGTGAGTTACCTCAGGTCATTACTTATGACTCAACTCATTCGTGGTATGAGCTCGGATCATGCCCGGGCCTGACCTTCGCTTCCACCCTTGACGTTTCAACTCTTTCTAGCTCCATTACTGCTCTATTATTGCCCCTGGGTCTTTGTACTTTTTTCTGCCTCGTCTGCTCACTTGGCTCGTACGGTAGTGCTCTATCTGACTTCTGATTCGACCAGTCCAAATACCTGTCTGTTCCGTCCCTCAGTTTGCACCGCAAACCTCCAACTTGACATTTCTTGACCTGCCTGTGCGACACTTTGTAACCCTTTGGAGGCCCCCTAGTCTCGTCTGACCTCTGTGACCTCTGCGACCTCCTCTGACCCCCAGGAGGTGCCAGCGGCCCGGCCATGCCTCCATCACAACAGGAGGTCACTGTCTGACCTCTCTGTGACCTTCTCTGACCTCTCTGTGACCTTGTCTGACCTCCAGGAGGTGCCAGCGGCCCGGCCGTGCCCCCGTCCCAGCAGGAGGTCACTGTCTGACCCCCTGTGACCTTCTCTGACCCCTCTGTGACCTCTGCGACCTCCTCTGACCCCCAGGAGGTGCCAGCGGCCCGGCCGTGCCCCCGTCCCAACAGGAGGTCCCTGAGCCCAGGAAATACACGGGCGGCCATATTCCCTCGCGCAGCTTCCAGATGCTGCAGCAAATGACAGCCGATGATCAAGGTACGGTACTGCCATATCGGCTGCCAGGTCGGGGACAGGTTGCCGCTAGGTCGAACTCCCCAGTGACTGCCAAATGGCTTGGTATACACCCCCGTCCAGCAAACTATTCTTTAAACGTTGTATAACTGAAATCCAAATAAATAATACATAAATTTGTGTTATTCCTCCTACTGCGCATAAACACTATCATGCTAAAACCATAATATGTTAAATTCACCATGTACTTCTAAAGAGTTCCTTTCGTAGCCTTTTATTTCTACTTGATTTCATGCTTTTGCTAAATTGTATGCATATCTCTCAATCGTTTCTGCTAGTGTTTTGCTTTGTTCCCTGATTACAACTTTTCGTTTTGAGTTTTGTTTGTATCTCGTTTGTTTGCTTGCACCTACGTTTCCTTGTTACTTCCTCTGCCCTGCCTGTGAATAAGGTAAGAAGTTTGCGGTGGTCCCCGTTCCCTTTGAGGTCCTCATTTTGGTCCGGATCCTCTCCCTCACACACACACGCACACACGCGCGCGCGCGCGCGCGGACGGGATACGGGTGCTTCTGCTCGTGCTCTCCCGGGTCGTGTGTTTGTTTCGCGGGCTTTCATTGTGAATGCAGTGCGTTTTATTGCATGCTGCATGCGAATTGCAACCCCGCTTGCCTGTGTTTGTGTGCGTTCTCTTGTGATCCTCGCGCGTTGCAGATGCTTTGAAGGGAAGCTGCTGATGCTGCTGCCCGTTCATATATTTACCATAAATGAATGCCAGATCAACCGAAAGTTTATACTATAGTGAACAAAGTAATTCATTGTGTCAATATTCGAGCATCGAACGTATCACTGCTACGCACACTGCACAAGTTAGATAGGTATTATACATATATTTTGTATACATATAACTTTTTTCAACTTTACTTCGATGAATGGCTGCTTGTCCCAACAACACCAGACCTTTTCGCGTTCTAGACAGGACTTTCTGCCTTCTATCTTATTTAAAATAATGATAATAATAGCAATGATAATTCACAGCATACACATGGTTTTAAAACTTTTAGCTATTACCTTAAACACATAATTTATTTCTACTCTAAATCAATACCTAATAGAAAAATCACAGACCTTAAACCATACTATTCTGGGCTATCCGAAGAGATAGTAAATGCATTTCACTTTACTATTTCTGCCGGAAAGGCGACATATCGCCAGTCCTTTTATTCAGTGTGCTTCCACTGACACTGCGTCTGCCGATTTCACTTGGCGCCATGGCACTGCACCCCGATCTGACTCAGTCTGGGTGTGAGTTAAACAAACAAATCGCGGGTCCGTTCGGGCCCGGCTGTATGCACACATTGCTCTGTCAGTGTAGGGAGGACTGACGGCTGGGAGGCTTCTGCAGCGCTGACTCATGGGGCCACAGTCGGGGATGGGTGATGGTGATGGATCAGGGTCATGGAAAGAGCTACTACGTTGGTGATGGGTGCTAGTGCACATCGGGCTAGGCGCTGATGCATGGGTGATGGGTGGGCTTGCATAGCTGCACAGAGAGTTAATAATAATCGAGTAGTGTAAAACAGCAAAGCGGTTTGAGGTGGGAGTGGTGTAACGCCTCGCCCGCTGTCCCCGGTAGCTTTCCGCCGGCTGGGCCTGCCGTTCGGCCGTGACGTCATCAGAGGCAGCTCTGACGTCACTGGAGGCAGCTCTGACGTCATCCGGGGACAGCGCCGGAGGAGGGCGTGGCTGCTGCACACAGACCTGCCGGCCACGGCCCCTGCACCCGGTACTCCTTCAAGAGTGTCTGCAAGGACATCGGCAGGTCTCAGAGATGCTAGGAACACTGAGGAAGAGGAGCCGGTGAAGACTCCGGGACATTCGAGACTGGCTCGGCTGCTGTCGAACTTCGAAGATGACGAGCGGGATAGCCGTGTGCCGAACGGAATTTCAGTGAAGGAGAGCGGGAGGTGTGGTAGTGTGAGAGAGGCTGCTGTGAGCGCCGTTGGTACTTGTTATAGCAATGGTAGTGATAATGTTGGTGGTGAAAGAAGGGTCTGCGGTGCGCCTGCGAGAGACCGTATCACTATCAGCAGAGAGAACTTCAGGTCCAAACGAAACGGTGACGCCTGCGTTCCAAACTGCAATAGATACGGCGAATACGAAAGGTATCTGCCATGGGAGGCATTGAAGAGCAAACAATGCCAAGGACTGTGTAGAAATGACGTCTGCCATAGACTGTTAGACGACTGTGTGGCCAGTCCGGTGCGGACGAACACCGCCAACAACAGTGGCGGTGGCAGGGGTGTTCGAATGAGCAGCATCAACAGCATCGGCAGCGTCAGCAGCGTCAGCAGCGGCTTTGGCGACGCCGAGGAGACGATCTCCGAGCCGGAGGTAGACGGGGACGAACCTGAAACGGAGAGCACAGAAGAACTGGGCGCCGGAGGCAGGGAACTTGTGATGGAGGACTTGGATGCCCATGAGAACGAAGCGGAGAGCGTTAATAGACAGGAGTGCGTGAAGGAAGAACATTGTGCGCCTGCTTCCTACCGTGGAGGGCACACGCAGCGGGAGCTGGGCCGCGGTGGACAGGACCGGCTCGGTTCTGTGCGGACGGGAGATGACGCCAAGCAATGCGGCGAAACCGACGGAACATGTGAAAAATCCGACACCGATACCGAATCCGAAACCGACTCAGAGTCTGGCTCAGAGTCCGACTCTGAATCTGACTCCGAATCAGAGAGCTTATCGCACCCTAGTGAAGCCTGTTTAGGGGCTGAACATGTCGAAGATCTGGAAAAAGAAGCTGAAGTAGGCGAAACGAGTGCCGGTGGATGTGAGTTGGCGACCTCCTCTGAAGAAAACGACGAAGAAGAATCCACGGTGACGTCTGACGATGACGTCACAGAAGATGACGGCACGCTGGTGCGGTCACGGTCGGTGACCCCAGACGTGACCTTACTCACGACGGAAAGGTCGATGATCTTACAGGAAAGAGGTGTGGGCCAGCATAGTTCGAATGGAGGTGATCAAAGAGAAGACGAGGAATGTCTTCTGCAGAGTCCTGCGGAAGAGGAGGAAGAAGAGGTTCAGGAGCAGCAGGTGCGAGAGGTGGTAGAGGAGAGAGTTGATGAGGATCAGAGGCGGGAGCTGGAGGCGCTCGTGGCCGACATTTGGAGGAGCAGGCGGGAGTTTAACGCTGGCGAGAACGACGGAGAGCTGCTGTTCAGGGACAAACGGGAGAAGGAGTTCGACAACTGGCTGCAGAGGCTGGAGCAACGGAACGAACGGCTGAAGGCGATGGTGGCGCCGCCGGTGGCCGATAGTGGAACCAGAGAGGCATTGGCGCCCGTTACGGAAGAGGGCTTGGTTTCGGAGAAGACGGAAAAAGAGACGGAAGAAGTTACGGAGGTGAGGGCACCCGGAGACGAGAAGATCGAAGGTGAGAGCGAAGAGAGTGCGGATGAAAATGAAATCGAAAGTGGCATGAGAGAAGAGAAAGAAGAACGTCCAAATGAAGCTGCGAAGGTCGATGAACGCATCGTTGATCGTGTCGTTGGAAGTGTTCTTGATCTTGCCACTGGTGCGCTGGCAAATGAAGATACAATCAGCGAAGAAAACAGAGTTATCAGAGGTCGCAAAGAAAGAGATAAAGAGAGAAGCGCTCCACAAAGCTCAATAGACTGTAACGCTAATTTTCACAATACTTTCTCCTCTAATAATCCAAACAACAATACTCAGCAAAGTAATGCTGCCACGGTTCGGTTTAGAATCTCAGTGGAGTCGAAAGGCGTTCAGACGGATGACCTCGCCTCCATTGTCTCTAACGACACTGTCCGCGCCGCTCCGCACAGCACCGCCCTCTGTAAAAGGCACGTGCCCCACGTCATCATCTCGACCCCGGACCGGGAGATGGAGGTGGACGTCCTGCTGGAGTCGCCCGACGGTACCTCTGGCCCCTACGAGGTCTGGGGCGAGTGTTACAGTAAGATATTCCGGCCAGTGCCTCCGGGTAACCGCCCGAGGGCACGGGAGAACACTAACACACGCTTCGCTGCGGCTAGTGGTGCTTCGAGCATGGTGAAGGATTCCCTTTGTAATGTAAGGGATTCCGTTTCCCATGTGAAGGATTCCGTGTCCGAGGTGAAGGATTTTGTAACTAAGGTGAAGGCTTCTCACTGCTATGTAACCGGTGAGCTGCGAAACCTTTCGTCGCATGCTTCGGTGGGGGCTGCACATTCCGCTCAGTCCCAATCCGAGCCCCAGAGGAGAGGTCACGTGACCTTCCAGTCTGCGCTGCGGTTTTTCCGCGATCAGACGGAGTCTGCCTCTGGCGGTCACCGCCAGGTGGCAGGGCGATCTCCCGAGTGTTCCTCACAGAGGACGGCTCCTCAGTGGATGTCAGGGTCCTCCCGTCCTCCTGCCGTCCCTCCATGGGTGGCAAAACCCTCCTCCTCAGCCACTCCCGCCGCAGAGGCGCCTCCAGCGGCGGTGGGGCGAACCGCAGCTTCCCCGGCCGGCCGGCAGACGGCAGCACGGTCGCGCTGTACGGCCTCTCCACGTGTTGCAGGCTCTGCGCCGGTTCTCCCGCGTCCCGCGGAAGGACAGCCGCGCCGCTCCCCGAGCCACTACGCGCACGGCCCGGAGTCGGTCACCGCCGCCGGCCACAGTCCGCCCCCGCCCGCGCCGGCAGCGGTGGCGGCGGTGGCGGCGGGAGTCCCGACCTGCGAGCGGATCGAGCTGGAGCGGCAGCGGCAGGAGCGGCAGCGGCGGCCGCCGACCAACGGCCGGTACGCCGGCGGCCGGAACCCGTCGCGCGCCTTTCAGCAGCTGGCCGGGGAGTACCGGGACGAGGCGAACGACTCCCGGGAGACTGTGCTGGGCGAGCTGCGCGCCGTGGGCTCGGGCCAGGCGCCGCGGCCGGCCCGGCCCTCGGCCGTACCGTCCCGGTCCTTCCGCCGCCTGCAGGAGGAGTACGGCTCCCAGGAGCCGGAGCCGGAGCCGGAGCCGGAGCCGGAGCCGGAGCGGGTCCGGAGCGGGCCGCAACAGACGGCCGTGATCCGCACCACTCCCGAGCAGCAGAAACAGCGGATGGCAGCCGTCTCAAAGACGTACCGGCTGCTGCAGACAGACCCGACCGCAGTGCCATCTGTGCTGGGCAGGAACGGCCGCTAGTGCGGCCCGCCGCCACCAGAGGCGCTGGCGGCGCGACAGGAGAGTGTTTAGAGCAGCCAGTTTTAGCCGAAAACAAACACCGCGCCCGGTGAGAGCGCGCTGTGGACCACTGTACTGCCGTGACGCACGCAGCGTCTGCTTGCTGTTCTAACGCCGACGCGAGCACTGATGACGTCATGTGAGGCTAACCGTGGATGTGTTTACCACTCGATCTGAGCCAGTTTAGAGTCAAAGTCGCGTCTGGGCGTCAGTAAATGTGCGTTTAGGTAGCAATATTAGCGCTGGCGGCACCAACTCACGGCGGAGCCATCTCACATCTGACTTGTTTTAATTTGCTGATAAGATCAGATCAGGCTTGATCAGATCTCTTGACAAACTGTGACATTTAGATTGCAATCATATTGTGACCGGATGAGTGTAGTAACACCTGCTCTGCTACGCTAAATCAGAGGTCCTTGGTAGCGCCTGACTCGCTGCAGCGAATGAATCTCTCAGCTCTTTTTGAGCACGGACTTGCTTGACATAGGCTAGTTAGTTGACCATGCGACCGACCTATGTAAGTACATAAATGATACCGCCTTTATGATGATACCGCCATAAATGATACCTTTGACGATCCACTGCAGCGGTATTTATTTACTATTAAGTGTGCCGAGCGCGAATCTTTTGTAAATAAACGGACAGATGACTTGTGTGCGTACTGGTCGGAGTGTGTACTACGCGCTTACCAAGGTCTATTGTCCGTTTTTCTTTTATAGTGCAGATAAGATGCGGATGTTGGTATCGTCGATCAAAAATACAAAGATACAAAGTCTATTAAATACCTGCACAGCATACGCTGAATGGCGAATGCACACTGCGCACTGCACGTGCACAGGTCGCTGAGAGTAAATGCAAACGTCGAGTGCCACGGGTGGAAAATGGCGTGCCTGGAGATTGTCAGGTACACGTCACGGATGTACCATTTCAAGCGAGCTCACGGTTCTAAGCATCCATGTCACATAAAAAATGGGATAAGTAAAACTTTTTCAATAATGGAACATTTGGTACCACAGTTTTAGCACATTATGCCACAAATTCGCTCAACATTCTGACTTTATTGAGTGGTTTCCCAGTCAGCACAACTAGAGCGTCAGTAATAAGTGTTTGCAAAACAAAATAACAATAATAATGTCAATAAAAGGGACTGTTTTTTTACTTTTTTGTCGATCAATGGCGACCTTAGCACACTCATTTTCGGTTCCTGCAACACACTGTTTCGACCCTCCATCAGTCACAGGGCAGCCAACCGTCAGTCACTCTGGACAGACACCAGGTGATGACAAATTAACAAATCCTGCTTAATCCGGTATTAACTACCGGCTATTACGTAATCCCTGTTGCTGCGGGAGATAGCTGAAAACCTCCAGAGTGCTGCGGTAAGAGGTCAATGGCCATAGGGCGTCTGCCAATGGCAAAAAGTGAGTCTCTCAGTCTCAGCGTTTTGCGGCAGAAAATAGCCTTAGATGGACAATGACGTTCCGTGGTGATTTAACTGGCAGATAAAGTCAAGGTTTTACGCGCACCCCATCCCACACACACACAACAGGACACCGCGGCACAGCACAAGTGTATGACATATCGTCTCCGTTGACCGTTTTCCTTTAATTTTGCCACTAATGTGCCGGTGACATATCTACGAAAACACCAAAGGCAGTCAAATACACCGTTTTTGTAATCAAAAACAGATTTTTAGATGTCGAACATCCTACGGAATGGAAAATGTCATCTTCTACACACCAACCCAAAGCGACCTGTGACCTACATCAAAAGTCTATCGCATCACATTTCACAACCGATTCAACTGGGCGGCGGCCCTTCACTTCTGTGCTGAGATTTAAGCACTCCTCGCGTGGGTATGGCTCAACCGTCTGACCTTTCCTTAAGCAGCCGGCGGCCTCGCTGCCTGCGTAGGACCCACCGGCGCACCCAAAGGAGCCCCAAATTTCGCCAGCACGTCGGCCCGGGCGGATCCAGCAAACATTCTTTGGGTCAAATGGGGACAAAGTGTCTATGCCTTTTATCCTATTCCCATGTAGAACCAACCGAAGCCATACTTTCCGTTCCTCATAACAAAAACGTAATTTGCTGAAAATGTAGATATTTAGTTTTATAACATTGTACAATTATTTAAGCTAAATCAAACGAGGTCATACAGCCAAGAAAAAACCATCAACTTAACCCCCTTCGCTTAATTCTTAACCCGCGAGTTGCTGGGGGGGCGTTAAACGCCCCCACTTTTTTCGCCGGGCCATAGCATAAAAAACGGCGCGCCGCAGGCGCGCCAAATTTTGGGTACCTGTAGGAAATTGATTGAAGTTTATTGTGACAAAGTTTCAACAAAATCGGTCGGAAAATCTTTGAGATATCGAGGTTTTAGTGACGTCATGATTTCTGAGTTTTCGACCAAAAACGGCATATGTTCAAAAAATCATATAAAATCACAGAATAGACATACAGACATGCCGTAATAGCGATTAGACTGCCAATACCATGAACAATCAAATGGCTATCTTCGATTATTGATTATCGTTCCGCATTTTCCAAAATCTTGAACTGAATCTTGGCAATTTCTCGTGACTACTTCACGACCATGATACATGCATTTCTTAAATTGAACTTTTTGAGGCAAACACGTACACATATGATAAAATGAATGTCACCATCGTGTTCTACGCCCCAAATTACCCATAAAACATGTGTCACAGGCTGCGAATATCAGTTTCGATTTTCGGGGATATGTGCTTACCCGGTTGACCTGACCTTGACCCTGACCTATGCTTGACTGACCCCTACATGAAGCTGACACTCTTGTAGGCCTTATATGATGGATTGTGCACCGTTTTGACAGAGTTTATGACGAGAGGCGCCCATTGCGAAGTCCTGAAGTGAAGTCCATGCTACTGAAAGCCCGATTTCAGGTGTTTGACCTGACCTTGACCCGACCTGTGACCTCAAAATTCAATTTTAAAGTACTCATCTGAAGCGTCTCGTCGCGTTCTTTCGTTTGCCGCCTCGTGCGTTTCGCTGCGCCTATCGGTTCTCGAGTTATCGGCTGGGGGCGTTTAACGCCCCCCCCCCCCCCCAGCAAACGGTTGGTGGCGGAATACCCCAGCAACTGCCGGGTTAAGCTCGATTCGAAGCGATACCTTGAATGGACTCAGGAGCCTTTGATGTACCGCCCTCATGGGCGTAGGAACCTCACGAAAAGTGGGGGGGCCAGCGAAACTTCAATGTCACTTTGTGGGAGCCCCAATACCCCTATGAAGAAATTCTTTGCAGTTTTGTGCTCATCTCACCTTGCTGAATCATTTCCTGCTCTTAGTTTTGTATTTAAATAAAAAATAAAGATTTTACTTTAAAAAATGGCTAAAAAAGTGGGGGGGGGGGCCATGGCCCCCCGGCCCTCCTGTTCCTACGCCTATGACCGCCCTTGTAGTACCCCTCCCCTCCATACCCCCCCCCCCCCCCGCCCCCACTCCTTACGGAGACGATGGGATCAGCCGATGAGCACATGACGCAACAGAGGGGGGCGGGGCCAGGCGGCGGGCGGGGCGGGGCCTAGTGTGGCGTGATGTCTGAGTTGTGCTGAAGTGGCGGTCACAGCGGCGGGCACAGGTTGACCCCCAGACGGGATTTGAGGAGCCGGCCACCCAGGGACGGGGGGGGGGGGGCGTCTGCCGCCGCCGGCCACACCGGGTACACGTGCACTACGTATAGCTACAGCACGGCACGGTGTTACGAATGGTGGATATAGTGACCACTCGAGGGCGGCATGATAAATCTCAGAATTGTGTAATTAGATTGTGTACGTTTAATCTCTTGAGTGCACATCTTAGCTAGGAAAGGCCTAACTAGTACCTACCGACGCAAAATATGGGCACATTTCTGACTCTCCAGTCTCAACAAGCACAACTCACAAGACGAACTCACGCGCACCACAACAGGTTTCTTTTAATAATCAAATCATTCAGATGGCATCAGCTTCTGTTAGTGTGGTGTCGTCACCCTATAAGCTCAGTTCCAGACAAAGGCGGCTTTTGGCGAGACTTTATGGGTCTCAGGACATTGAGTAACTACTGGCCTATGTGTTATCTTAGTACGGTCACAGGACATTAAAAATAGTGCAGCTGCCCAGCGCTTTCTCTTTTCGAAACTCGGCACAGACATAAGATACCAAATCTGGTATTGCAATGTTTGTTCTTTTCCCAACAAACTCGTGCTAGCTAAAATGCTATCATTTATAATTTTGTGGATATAATCAGACTTTGAAACGTTGGCTCATGAACGAATTAACTTTGTGAAAGTTGTAGTAAAAACATTACGACACCGACGGTGTAAGTTATCACGCATATGTCAGTATAGTGAACTATTGCAAAACACAGTGTAGGCACCGAAAGTTACATTTTGCGCATCGTCTTAACCAGACCTGTGCTTACATACTTACTCTCTTAGCTGGTATTATACGTATAAAGTCAATGTTTTCAGGTTCGGAAATGAAGCTGGCAGCTGCATTCCAAAACCAGTCTGTGAATCCGGTATACACTTGCAGCGGCCATGAATCTCGTCCGCCAAGGTCATCGTTGTCGCCATCTTGAGTCGCATTGGTTGTCATGACAACGGCAGCTGTGCCGCGGAGTGCGGGTACGGTGGTTGCAGCGTTCGACTCGGGAATTTCCAGCGGCTGGTAGTGGTGGTTACGGGGTTTTAGATCTGACCGGGGACTCGTCGGCCTGTGGAGTGTGGAGGCACCATCCCACAGAGAAACCGGGCCTGTCCCGTCATCAATGTAACGCGAAAACACAGCTAATGACGAGCTGTCATACACGTGTCGTGTGACATGGCTCAGAAAATATGAGGCGTTAAAATGAATTTTAGGGCAGTGCACATGCACGTGTTCAAAGAATAATATGTTATATGTAATTTATAGCTAGCAAAGTTGATGAACAGAAATATTGACTAGTTGTGCCGAGCGTTTTTTTACATTTGGCATATCAGTAATGTCAATGCCCTTTTTACGATGCCACTAATAATTCTTGCAATGTGACCTCGGAAGAACATCACGGAAATAGCCTAACTCGCCAGATGTACCGCCAAAAATGCCAAAGGCCGACCTCGAAATGGCAGATCTGCCAGCAAATCTTCCAGGGGCTGACCTCGAAATGGCATTTGGTTCGGACCGTCGTGCACATAGGATTCCGTAGCCATTAGATGGGGGCTTCTGAGAACAATTAGCCGATAAATACCGGAAGACGGTAGACATTGGCTGCAATAAAAGTGATAACAACAATGTATCTTTGTTACAAGAAATACTTGGCTACTTATCATTAGTGGTATCATTCAGCATGTGGAATCACTCCACAGGGATTTATGATGTGCAATGGTGATGTAAATTCGCCACTGCAATGACCCAA